TTTTTTTTGACATGCTATGCTTTGACTTTTTTCGACATGCTATGCTATGACTTTTTTCGACATGCTATACTATGACTTTTTTTTTCGACATGCTATGCTTTGACTTTTTTCGACATGCTATACTATGACTTTTTTCGACATGCTATGCTATGACTTTTTTTCAACATGCTATGCTATGACTTTTCGACATTCTATGCTATGACTTTTTTCGACATGCTATGCTATGACTTTTTTTTCGACATGCTGTGCTATGACTTTTTTTCGACATGCTATGCTTTGACTTTTTTCGACATGCTGTGCTATGACTTTTTTCGACATCCTATATAACTTTTTTCGACATGCTATGCTATGACTTTTTTCGACATGCTATGCTACGATTTTTTTTGACATGCTGTGCTGACTTTTTTTTTGACATGCTATGCTTTGACTTTTTTCGACATGCTGTGCTATGACTTTTTTTTCGACATGCTATGCTTTGACTTTTTTCGACATGCTGTGCTATGACTTTTTTCGACATGCTATACTATGACTTTTTTTCAACATGCTATACTATAACTTTTTTTTCGACATGCTATGCTATGACTTTTTTCGACATGCTATGCTATGAGTTTTTTCAACATGCGATACTATGACTTTTTTTCGACATGCTATGCTTTGACTTTTTTTGACATGCTGTGCTATGACTTTTTTCGACATGCTATACTATTACTTTTTTTCGACATGCTATACTATAACTTTTTTTTTCGACATGCTATGCTATGACTTTTTTCGACATGCTATGCTATGAGTTTTTTCGACATACTGTGCTGACTTTTTTTTCGACATGCTATGCTTTGACTTTTTTTGACATGCTGTGCTATGACTTTTTTTCGACATGCTATGCTTTGACTTTTTTCGACATGCTATGCTGTGACTTTTTTTGACATGCTGTGCTATGACTTTTTTCGACATGCTATGCTTTGACTTTTTTCAACATGCGATACTATGACTTTTTTTCGACATGCTATGCTGAGTTTTTTCGACATGCTGTGCCATGACTTTTTTTTTGACATGCTATGCTTTGACTTTTTTCGACATGCTGTGCTATGACTTTTTTTCGACATGCTACGCTTTGACTTTTTTCAACATGCTGTGCTATGAATTTTTTCAACATCTTATACTATGACTTTTTTTTCCGACATGCTGTGCTGACTTTTTTCGACATGGTATACTATGACTTTTTTCGACATGCTATGATATGACTTTTTTTCAACATGCTATGCTTTGACTTTTTTCGACATGCTATGCTTTGACGTTTTTCGACATGCTGTGCTATGACTTTTTTCGACATCCTATACTATAACTTTTTTCGACATGCTATGCTATGACTTTTTTCGACATGCTATGCTTTGACTTTTTTCGACATGCTGTGCTATGACGTTTTTGACATGCTATGCTTTGACTTTTTTCGACATGCTGTGCTATGACTTTTTTTCAGCATGCTATGCTGTGACTTTTTTTTTGACATGCTGTGCTATGACTTTTTTTCGACATGCTATGCTTTGACTTTTTTCGACATGCTATACTATGACTTTTTTCGACATGCGATACTATGACTTTTTTTCAACATGCTATGCTTTGACTTTTTTTCGACATGCTGTACTATATCGTTTTTTCACTTTTCAGACATTATATATATATGACTTTTTTGACATGCTATGCTATGACTTTTTTTGACATGCTATACTATGACTTTTTCGACATGCTATGCTATGACTTTTTTTCGACATGCTATACTATGACTTTTTTCAACATGCTGTGCTATGACTTTTTTTTCGACATGCTATGCTTTGACTTTTTTTCAACATGCTATGCTATATCGTTTTTTCACTTTTCAGACA